CGGGTAGTGGGATTGGCTCTTGCTTGTTGTCTTTTGGGGGGGTGTTGTTGAGGCCTGCTTGCTGTGGAATATGACAACAGGTTTTAAATTTTCGTGTGTTGCAAGAGCATTGCAGCTCCAAGGCATCATTCTGTTTCGTAGGAGTGTATGTAATATTCGCAGCTCCAAGGCAATATTCTTTTTCGTAGGAGAGTACGGAACCTTCTGTTTTTTTTCCGAAGGTATTTTAATCTCTATATGAAATGATCCCAAACACCAGCCTTCAGTTTCCCGAAAAAACTGGGCAATTAAGTCTGAACTCTAAGCCGTGAGCCTGATGTCTTCCACCCCGAGCTTCAACTACCAAGGCAAAACTCCAAGCGGTTTAGGGCTTGGGGGTTCAGGGGTTAGGAGTTTTGCGGGCATAGGGTTTGGGGTCTAGGTTTAAATCTGCGCTTGTCCATGGCAACCCCTTTGTTATGGTTTGAGGTGGACCGGCGGGGTCGGAGCAATTGTCCATAGTGTTCCAAGGAGCTCCTTGTTATCAGTACCTGAACCCTAAACCCGGAAGCCTCTAAACCCTAAGCCCTATACTGTAAAGTTCTATGAAGTGCCTTAAAACCTTATCTAGTTATCGAGGCGCATGGCAGGGTTTATGGCGTAATCTTGGTTTGCAGTCTTCAGGATGTTCTATGTTATCATGTCTTTGTTCTTGGATAGGATACGATCCTTCTTTAAGCTGATAACGTGCATCTGACCTTGTCGGGCTTCATACTACTGTTGATGATATAAATCCTGCATTACCATAAGTAAGGACCCTAAACTATGCGAATCATGGTATAGTCTGTATTATGAGTAACGCAGGATTTATATCATCAACCGTATGTCAGGCTGTCAGATTTCTTGAGACGCGTTGTTCTCGTAACAGAGGATCGAATTCCGAGCCGAATGGTTGCTGAGTTGATGAACAACTCCAGGGCTGAGAGTTCAGAAATGCTCAAAGGCCCCAAACCCTACTCTAATTATTAAGCCCCTTATATTAGAAAAAACAAAACTCTGAACTCTAAACCCTAAGAACGGGACAAGATCAGTCGTTGCATCAGGAGGGTTGCTACTTTGTTTCGAGTCTGACAATGCAAGTTTCGCGACCGATGTTTGGCGCCCCAAGCTAGGAGAGTAAGTTACAGACATGGCATCAACCACTGCGGACGTCCGCAGCAATCTGCAATATCTCCCTGCTCACACATCTCTCACTCTCCGTGCAGGGACCGGCATCAAAGACGGGAAGTGGTGACCACATATCCTATCCGGTTTCGAAGCAGCGAGGGCCCAAGTGGGCAGGGATGAGGCTCTGCGGTTGCGTTTGAGGCGTTGAAGCCTCCATTTCAGTTGTCGGTTACCTTACTCTTTGCTATGTCCTAGCCTTAAACCTTGAGTCAGTTCTAAACCCCAAGTTCACGGTTCAGCCGCAGGTTCTGCAATGGAGACTGGAGGTAGGATTTCGAAGTAGGGCAGCCCAGGAGCAACCCAACCTTGAGGCCTTGAGACCGCAGTATTCTTGCAGTGCTAGTAATATTTACAGGGTGTTTCATCTGACTTGGAAGGCTTACTACTACTATAAGAGTTCGATAAATACATGTGTCTCTGAATAATCACATATTAACTTTCCATCATGCTTAGAGCCACAGCATAGATGCCCCTAGACCCACCCATACCTGGGTTCGCCTTTCGAAAATCCGAAGCGCTTGGGCCGTGTCTGACCCAACCGCTGCGTTAATGCACGGTTCAGAGTTGTGTTAAATCCTTAATTAGTGTCGCTGGTCCATCTAGGGCACGTCAGCTGCAGGGTGAGGTGTCCTTCAGGGCGTAACTAGGGGCTAGGGGTGAAGGGTTTCAGCATAGTGGGCTTGGGTTTAAGGGATGGTTTCTTCACAAAACTCTCGAGGCGATAATGTCTGGGCCAAACCCAAACACCTGAATGAGCACAAAAGGTCCCAAACTCAGTTGTCGTGTCTGTGTTTTTCAGCACACCGAGGCACCGAATACGCTTTCATGCCGAAAGACCTGAAGCTGCGTAGTGTTGCACCCTAAACCCTAAACCTTACACGTGTTCATATAGAGATCTCAGAAGTTTCGTTCTCGCCCGTAAAGGCCGCGCACTTAGAGGATGTTGGGACTTAGTAGCTAGGGGTTATAAATCAGATGACTATATTTATGCTTACTTGTAACTCAAGTCAAGGTACTTAGAGCCTTACTTGCGCAGTTTTGTCAACTTCGGCGCGTACGTTCCTTCACAAGTGGCAGGCTTGTTTGAAGCAACCGCAGGTGCAGTAAAGCTCCGACCACCCTTGAGCTTATCAAGGTGAACCCGAATTTGAAGGCTGTGCTTGTGGCTGTAAGATTCAGAAGTCATTCTTTTCTTTTAGCCGTACCCGCCTCGGCCGACTCAGCAGCTGTGGCTTCGCGGTTCCCGGGGCGAGCTGATAGTCGTGGGAAAAAATAGCACGGAGAATCCCAAACATCGTAATCGTAATAATGGTAGTTAATAAATGGTAGTGGTACTAGTACTGCGGGGTTGCCCCTAGCCTTACCCTCACCCTGACCCTTAGCTGCCAAACTGTGCAGCCTAGCCATAGGCCCTGTACCCTTATATAGACCCCGAGCGAGGCCTACCGGAACTGCAAGTGTCCCACCAGCTTCTGCAACCCGACACGGCTGCGGGTTTGGATACATGTTTCAGGGTTTAGGCTTTGTAGACATAGTGAGGTACATATATGAAGCCCGGTTAGGCTTGAGAACTTCTTTCAGGCATAAGGATTTGTCCAGAAGGGCTGCGAATCCTATCCGGATGATAGCAGCAAGTGTTTTCTAAAGTTTTATTGTGGGCATCCAGTGATTCTCAGCCACTTGTCATGGAGTTGTACCTTGAACATAAAGCCATCATGTAGAAGCTTGTACTGAATGATTATAAAGGATATCCCCTGTTTATTTACAGATGTCTGTCGCTGTCTGTCTCTGTCTTTCTTCGTCTGTATGTTGCCTGTCTGTCTGTCTGCCGTCTGTCTGCCTGGCTGTACTGTCTGTCTGCCTGCGTTACTACTGCCTGCGTTGCTACATGCGTAGGTATGTACATACGCAGGAACATACTCATGTATGCATGCTTGCATGCAGGTACATATGTATGTGTGTATGCGTGTTTGTGCATTGTATATGTATATATATATATATACAACACCTCTACTGTTCGATTATACCATGATTCGCCCAACCCCCCTTCCTACTTATGCATGTGCCTAGTGTTCCAGAGCCTCATCTGTCAATCTGAATCCTGATTTGCTGTACGTACATCAATGCTGGCTCCACCATGTGGTGTTCCCCTCCAATTTCCTTCAGGGAGGTACTCTACACACCAAAGTCTCTTCTCTGTGCCGAGCTTTTCCAGGAAGCCGTAGATGACTTCGGACTCTCAGCTTCCATCCCAAGCCCTGCCTTGCGGCAGACTTCTATCACGGACCCCAATGCACTTTCACCCTGTGATAGCCAGGAAGAGGAATTACGATTGAGGTCTAGGTAGTGTCCGTTATTCTGCAAACCGCTGCTATTTCAGCCATCGGTAGGCTGCGATTGGCTGTTGGGGGGGAGGGGCAAACATGGCTGCGAAAGCTTTTTGTCGTGCTGCATCTGTTCGCCCGGCCAGGAGACACTTTATGTATTGCTTTAGCTTAAAAAAATGTGCTCTTTACGTCTTTAAGTAAGCTTTAGCCCGAAGTCTTACAGCTACACTTTACAACCCGCCAGAAAGCCCCTGACTTCGATCTGAAGTACAAACTTTAAGCTTCCTGTTCGGCTCGCACGTGTGCTCTATATACATATACAGATATGTACTATGATAACCCTCCCCCCCCCAGAACCTTGTTCTGATTTATAAGCTACAAAAATATGGGGTTGTGGTAGCGTGATAGGGTATTTAAGCCCTAGACCCTCAGCCCGACCCCAAACCCTCAACTAAACCCTCAACCTCAGATATCAGGTCCTGTTCATAAATGCTAAACCATCCTATATAAACCCTAACCCTCAAACCCTAAACTCAAACCTGTTTCGAGCTTCGCTGCTACACTCAGGCGATGAGTTCGGCTTCCTTCTCGGGGTACCACAACGCAATTCACTACAACGAGGCGGGCAAAGGTTGGAGAACCTAGTAGGGCAACGGTTTAGGGTTTAGGGCCCTATACACAAATTGGAACTACTTTGAGGTCTAAATTTTGGATACTACCTGCTTTTGGTTGTTTGGAGTCCTAGAGTAATAGAGGGTTTAGGGTTGTGCCTGAACAGTTTGGTTTAGGGTTCGGGGTTTCAGGGATTCCTCAGGGTTCCGTATAGCAGCCCGTTGCCACGACTCAATTCCGACTACTTACGCAGCATGGAACTTCTTAGTACAGCATGGCTTTAGATTCCGCTTCCTGAGACCGACATGCACAAACATACACGCGCGCGAGCGCACGCGCCACAGTCACACCGCACGGCGGCTTAGTTCTTAATGGTCCGCATAGTCTTCAGAAGGGCATAAACACTACCAGCAAAGGGCGCCTTCGCGATATGTCACGGTCAGGCAATATAGATAAGACCCGCCCCGGCACCTGTAGAGTAAGAAGCCCAACAAGTGATGCAATACCTTGCTTCGTGCTGTCACTGGTTGAAGAAAACAGCGAGGTCTGGAAGAGGCAGCACGCCGTTTTCCATATTCGGAGGCTGTTTGATTTGTGTTCATCGTGGTACTGACTCTGTAGACTACCGCGTATACACCTAGCGAGCACAAGAATCATGAACCGCTTGTTCTCGTGATGTTCGTTCTGCATAACTGAGTTATGATAGTTTTCGTCTGTTGAATGCAATGATCGCAATGATGTTGCTGATTGCTGGAAATGCTCATGGACGCATGGCCTTTCAGGTAGTGGTAACGACAGTGCTGATACCTGTTGCTGTTGTGGTTGTTGCTCACACCTTCTGCACGCGCCTTTCAGGCTCCTGGCGGCTGGCAACGACAGGCGGAAGGGCGGAAACATCTTGCCCTTTATCAGTCGGCCCATCCGAAACCCTAGCTGGGGAAGTTTTTGCACTTCGAACCCCATGAACCGCAAAGCTGCTCGAAAGCTTAAGCCTGCACGATGCAATATGTCAAGCAAGCAAAACCGCTTGGTGGTGTGGACTGGTCTAACCTGTGTATGTATGAGCGTAGGTATGTGTTTATTATATGTGTATGTATATATGTGTATATATATATATATATTTGTGTTTCCTGCATATATATATATAGATGTGTGTGT